ACCATGGACTGCCAAGAAAACAAACAGATTCATCCTGGAGAGGATTAAACCAAGCAACTCCTTGGAATCAAGCAAATCCTTGGAAGCAAGGATTCTGGGGCTTCGTCTGACATACTTTGGGCATGTTGCAAGGAGGGACGGGTCCTTGGAGAGGGACATCATGCTTGGGAAGGTGGAGGGATGGCGCAGGAGGGGAAGACCCTCTATGAGATGGATTGATTCGGTGACTGGGGTAATCGGAATGGGTGTGTCTGAAGCAGTGCGATTGGCACAGGATAGAGCCGGGTTTAGGGCTGTTGTGCATAGGGTCGCTATGAGTCACAGACAACTCGATGGCACATAACAACAACAACATGGGTCACAGGTGACTTGATGTCACATAACAACAAAAAATATATATGTATTGTTGTTAAGTACCATCTCAAGTGCCACTTGTGACTAAAAGCGACTCTATATACAATAGCTCTGAACCTTGCTCTATCCTGAACCAACATTATTGTCTCTGACACACATACTCCCATTATTCCAATCACTGAGTCAAATCCATCTTCTCGAGGGTCTTCCTCTCCTGCGCTGTCTCTCCACCCTCCCAAGTATAATTTCCCTCTCCAAGGACTAGTTCCTCCTTGTAACATGCCCAAAGGATGTCAAAAGAAGCTTCAGAATTCTTGCTTCAAGAAGCAGCCTGGTTTCACTCTCTCCAGGACAAACCTGTTTGTTCTCTTAGCAATCCATGCATGGTATATTCAACACTCTTCTTCAGCACTGCAGCTCAAAGGCATCAATTATCTTTCTCTTAACCCTAGTCATTGTCCAGTTTTCTGATGCATAGCAAATAATTTCGAAGGCCATGGCCTGGATCAGGTGCCCCTTAGTATCCAGACTGACATTGTTACTCTTTAGGACTTTGGAGAGGTCTCTCACAGCAGACTTTCCCAATGCAATTCATCTTTTGATTTCCTGGCTGCTGGTACCAAGAGTGTTGATTGTGGAGCCAAGCAAACTATGTTTCAAGAATGCATAACTCAAACACTTGACTAGTTGCTTCCTGTTCCTCCATCAGGTTTCTAATTGTGATGAGAAGAAATTGCCCATCTTTATCCTGTGGAGCAGTTGGTGGATTTGAACTGCCAGAAATGCAGCCTTTTGGCTTGTAGTGTGACACTCTATGGGTTAGGCCACCAGAGCGCCCTGGAAAAGTTACTTAAAATAGGCAAATATGTGGAATTGTTGTGTACTGTTGAGTCAGAACCAACCCATAAGTGATCTTCCAGGACATTTTCAGAGGCAGTAAATTTCACATTGATTCCCCATCTTTTTTGTTTGGAGCAGCTGGTAGTTTGGAACCACATACCTTTGCATTGACAGCATAATTTGTGTAAGTAATTTTTTTTTAAACAAGTGATTCTTATGACATATTTCCTGAGAGCAGTCTGTGCAAGAACTTTATTACATGCTCTCTGGAATACTCTTGGTACATTTTAAAAATACTTTTAATACATTCATCCCCCCCCAAAAAAACCCCAAACAAACCCAAACCAACTTCTAGGGAGCTTTGGTTGCCTAGTGGGGCAAGAAGCTGCCCTGCACATGATTCAAATCCACCAGCCAGCCACTCCATGGGAGAATGATGGGCAAGCTCCTCCTATGTAGTTTTATTGCCTCTGAAAACCCACCCAAGGGTCAGCTATGGGTCGGTTCTGACTTGACAGTTCACAACAACAAACAACAACTTATTTTACCTTCCTATTTACACAAGGGTTACAAACTAACCCTAAGAACTCAGTCAGAAAGCCTCACTGTTTTGAGGGCTTGCTTGCAGATTGAACTGTGTCCTACAAAAGGAGGTGTTGTAAATTCTAATCCCTGCACTGTGGTTGTAATCCAATTTGGTAACAAGCTCTCTTTGTTGTACTGATGAGACAGTACTGGTATTGTTGTTGTTATGTGCCATCAAATCGCCTATGACACATAGTGACTCTACATATAATAGCTCTGAACCCTGCCCTGTCCTGAGCCAATCTCACTGACTCCAGCACATCTCCTACCCTCATTACTCCAGTTACTGTGTCAATTATCTCATCCAGAGTCTTCCTCCCCTGCATTGTCCTTCCACCCTTCTGAGCATCATGTCCTCCAAGGACTGGTCACCCCTGGCAATAGGCCCAAAGTATGTAAGTAGGAGCTTTAAAATCTTTGCCTCCAAGGAGAAACTTGATTTCACCCTCTTCAAGACAGACTTGTTTGTTCTTCTGGTTGTCCATGGTATGTTCAAGACTCTTCTCCAGCACCACAACTCTTCATCTGTCATCCTTAGTCATTATCCAACTCTCTGATGCATAGCAAATAATTGCAAAGACCATGGCATGGATCAGGTGCACCTTAGTCTCTAGACTGACATCATTACTCTCTGGCCTTTTGGAGAGGTACCTGTCAGGAATGTTCCCCAATGCAATTTGTCTTTTATTTCCTGACTGCTGGTGCCAGAAGTGTTGATTGTGGAGCCAAGCAAGCTGAAATTGTTAACAACCTCAATCTCCTCTCCATCTATCGTGGTGCTGCCAATTGGCCCAGTGATGAGAATCTTTTCCTTCTCAATGCGAGGCTTCAAATTGACCTTCTGCAGCAAGCACTTCAGGTCCTGCTCAGTTTCAGCAAGCAGGGTAGTGTCATCTGCATAACGCAGGTTGTTGAGTTTTCCTCCAATCCTGATGCCACAGTCCTCCTCATAAGGCCCAGCCTCCCAAATGATCTGTTCCACATACAGACTGAAAAGGTATGGAGGCGGGATGCATCCCTGACCCACTCCTTTCCCAATTTTGAACCATGCAGTGTTTCCTTGCTTCACATGAGCACAAGTGTTCTGGGATTCCCATTCTAATGGTATACAGTGTGATGCATTCTTCATCAATCCTTTAAAACACAGTGGGAGTGCTGAAAGAATCCATGCCTTTAAATTGCGGTGTGAAGAGCACTGAATGCACTGTGGACTTCCAAAAGAACAAACAAATCTATCTCAAAGTACAACCACAACACTCCTTAGAAGCAAGGATGATGTTATCAGTCATCATCAGGACATACAGTGGCTACCAGAACGGGCTTGAGCATGATAGAAATCATGAGACTGTTAGGATATGCAGGATAGGGCCAGGTTGAGGTCTGTTGTTCATAGGGTGACTGTGAGTCACAGTTGACTTGATGCCACCTAACAACAACAACAAGATAACTAAGACATGACTGTAGAGGAAATTAGTGACTCTCATTTGTGCTTTCTTAAATGAAACCTGATTGCACAGAGCATTAAAGAGCTGGGTTGCTAACTGAAAGGTCAGTAGTTCAAACCTACCAGCTGCTGTGTGATAGAGAAATGAGACAATCTGTACCCTTGGAAGCCCTAGGAGGCAGTTTTCTTCTGTCCTGTAGGCTTGCTTTGAGGAATGACTCAAGAACAGTTTTGATGTTCTCAAAGCATCCTGTGAAAGAGACCCTTGGAGAGCACCAATAAAATGTTAGAATAACCAAGGTTTCAATCTTTATATTCCCAGCAAAGAATGTTTGATAAATGTGCGATTAGTTTAATTCAACTATTTAAAAATGTTTTTCTTTCATGTAAGAAAGAGTGTTCTTCAAACAAAATCTTCTGGGAGAACTTACGATGTGGACTAGCCCAAAGCCAAGAATTCTACCACATAGATGCCTTTTGCCACAGCAGCTGGTTTAGAAACGACCCTCCTGTTGACCAGACATCTGATCTGTTGGTACAGTGAGATCAGATGTGAAGCATGAATGGCCTTTGAAAGCATCTCTACTAAATGGAAAAAGTCAGACCAAAAGGCCATGTGGTATGAAGTACCCTAAACAGGCAAGGACAGGAGACCAGCAGTCACCAGTGGTGGGGGGCAAAGGATGGAGAAGGACGCAGTGGGTATGTGGTGATGAAAATATTTAGAGAGTCTTGATCAGATGGATTAACATAGTGACTGCAGCAGTGGGCTCAGGTGTGTCAGAGATGAGGAGGGCATAGGTTGGGACAGGGGGTCCATGGGGTCACTATGAGTTGTACTTGACTCAACAGTCCTAACAACAGCAACGACAGGGCTAAATATGCTAAAACCACCAAATTGCATGTTTTAAAAGAGTTATTTGAATAGTGTATGAATTAAAAGTTTACATGATGTAATGATTCCGTTCTACAGAATTGGTAGAGGTTGACGAATTGTCATAAAGACAGGGTAGCCATGCATTATGGAGCTCTGGTGGCCTAGTGGTAAGAAGCTGCACTGCAATCTCGAAGGCACGTGGTTCGAATCTGACAGCTGCTCCATGGGAGAAAGATGGGCAATCTCCTCCCAAGTGGTTTACTGTCTCTGAAACTAGAACCAACAACAGCAGCCATGAATTTGGGTTTTTGGGGTATTAGCACTTTATAAAGCCATATGCCTGGAACTGTTCTCTGTTGAACTGGAAAGAATGTGATTCTGACCTGAATAAATCCATAGGGCGCAGTGAATGTAGCCTTTCCCCTAGGAAAACCTGTCAGAAGTTTCCCGAGAATTAGAGGCAAGGACAGTGACACTTCGTCTAACAAACTTTGGGCATTTTGTCTGGAGGGGCCAGTCGTTGGAAAAAGACATCCTGCTGGGAAAGGGGGAGGGTAAGAGAAAGTGACAAAGACTCCCAACAAGATGAAGTGACATAGCGACCGCTACAGTGGGCTTGAGCATATTGGACATGGTGAAGAGGGGCAGGATGGGGCGAGGTTCACGGGTCGCTATGGGTTGGAGATGACTTGACGGCCCTTGACAACAAACATGTTGTTAACCATAGAGTCGGAATCGACCCAGAGCTCACCCTCTGGAGGGTTTTCAGAGGCAGTTAATCACATGGGAGGAGATGGCCTATCCTCTGTTGGAGCAGCTGGTGGCCTTGAATCGCAGTCTTTTGGATTGCAGCGCAGCTTCTTGCTACTAGGCCACCAGAACAGTTAAATCTATTCCAACACCTAAAAACTCGAACCAACTCTTGAGGGAAATCTTTCAAAATGTCCTTTTTTTGAGGCTGATGTTGGCAGAATAGAGGGCTGTCGTGTAGGCGGTGGCTTAAGGCATGAATTCCAGTTCACAGAGACCTAAGATAGGGGCGTGGAGCTTTTGGGCAAAGGTGAGAGAACTGAGGAACCGGGCAGAGCTCTCAGGCACACACTCAGGTTAAATTTTAGGAGCTCTGGGAAAGAACAAAGGGTAAACTTATCATATGTAGGAGTTGAATTAAGATCAGCAGAGTAAGTGACAGCCTTTGGGCAGAGGAGCGCTTTCTCAGGGGAAGGCCACCCTGGAGGAGGGCTTGGGAGTGGGACATCTGGGATTCCTATAACAGTCACAACCAGGCCTGCCCCTCACCAGGCGAAACCTCTCCAGAGCTACCCTTGAAAAAGTTCCCACAAGCCAGATAGCTCCTCTTCTCTTGAGGAAATATCAGTACAAGTCCAGAATTCTCACATACCACCTCTCTCCCTCCTCCTCCTCCTCGTCATCCTCAGATTAGCACCCAACAACCAGCCAGATAAAGATATTCACGTTTCCAAACGCGGCGCCACAGCAGATGCCGGTTGCAGACATGCACACACACACACACACACACACACACACACACACACCAGCTTCAGAGCCACAGCAGATCCCAGCTGCAGACACACTCTCTCTCTCACACACACACACTCTCACACACTCTCTCTCTCACACACCCACACACACCCCAGCTTCAGAGCCACAGCAGATCCCAGCTGCAGACACACACACACTCTCTCTCTCTCTCTCTCTCACACACACACACACACACACACACACTCTCACATACTCTCTCACACACACACACTCTCTCTCACACACACACCCACACACCCACACACCCCAGCTTCAGCCATGTTCTTTTATTGAGGCGTCCCGATGGGAGTTGGTGGTCAGGGGATGCCCCGCCCCCCCCCAGCACGCATGGTCTGGGCTCAGCAGCTGCTGCAGTCACTGGGGTAGACGTCCCAGTGGAGGCCGATGGCGTTGATGAGGGAGCCAGACCGACCGCTGATAAAGCGCAGCACGGTGTTGGGGTACAGGGGAACCGCGTTGAAACTTGTGCCTGTGTCTTTGCCGAAGGGCAGGTAGCGGCCCTTGTCAGTTACGAAGACCAGCTTCCTCAGGTAGTACTTGTACTTGCCGGACACCTGGATCACCGACTCCCCAGGGTGCAGGAAGATCTCCTCCAGGTCCCCCGAGGAGCCACCCACATAGTCGCTCCACACCTTGCCGTAGCGCACCTGGAGGCTGGGGGCAGGGTGAGGAAGAAGAGGGAGATGCTGAGAAGGGTGATCGGAACGCAGGACACCTTGGCTTCGGATGGGTGACAGGGGGTGACAGGTCTCCTGGCGGCCCCACAGAGCATGAGGGCTGCATGTGCCCTGGCTGATCATACAGGAAAAGGCCACCCCTCACTTTGACAAGCAGCGAATGCGCTCAGACAGGGAAAGCCACTTGGGCAGAGTCACCTGACAGAGACACAGGGTGTCTGTGTCAACATTTTGACATTCGAACTCCCACTACTCCCCTCCTGCCAATACTGAACAGAAACAAAGGCATTTTGAAAATATATGAAAAGCTGTCATGTGGAAGAGGGAGGGGACTTAGAGGAGTGTGCTGTCCCAGGACGCAGATCCAGGGTCAGGAGGGGTCCCAGGTTGGCTCTGGGTGACAGAGTGTGTCAACGATATGAACAGAACGGAGATTCCTCAGGAGACATCAAGCCAAGATGGCAGCTGTCTGACAGAATCTAAACTTCGGATGGGCCTTGATTAAGCAACTTGCTGAGAGTTTATGACTACGTGCCTTGCTCAAGGTCATGTGTGTTGAGGATGGAGGAGTTGCGGCAGGTCTATGCTAAGTACTCTAACAACTTCCCCCCCATATCTTGTTACTCCTTTGAATTGTAGAGTCAGATGGGTGTGACCCAAAGTCTTACACTGAGAACGCCTCAGTGTAAGAAGACCCCAGAGAGTCCTCAAACCACAGCCTGAAGAGTCTTACCCTACAATATAGTATCTGTTGACGCGGACTCGAAGGGCAGTGATGGGGCCGTCCAGCTGGTTGCCAGAATGGGAGAATCGCTCTCCTCCACCGCCTCCATACTCACCATTGTAGGAGGAAGACCGAGCCTGAACTGCAGAGAAGAGCAGGAGTTGGGGGGAGAACGACCTTGAGAACTCAGTTTCTCCATCCACAGCTCAGTTCCAGTCACCCCCATACCCCTGGCCAACCTCTGAATGGCTGGTCCACCCCCAGTGCAGGAGGCTGCCTTCCCATTGACCCTGGGCCTAAGGCTGCTGGTGTCTCACTTACTGGCATTGGCAGAGACTGAGGCACAAAGAAGGGCTAAGAGCGTGATGGTCAACATCCTGGGGCTGGAGTGAAAAAAGGAGAGAAAAATTAAGACTGGCCCTTTTCCTTCAACTTTATTTACCTGGGTATCCCTGACCTCTTATTTAGGAGACTTTTTGATCCTTCAGCTGAAATTTATTATTGAATACTGTCAAAAGCTGACACCCCTGCACCCAGCAGGTTTTCAGAGACAGTAAATTGCAGGGGGTGGGGGAGATTGCCCATTTCCTCCCATGGTGCAGCTAGTGGATTTGAACTGCCTACCTTTGCATTGGCAGTGCAATTCCTTACCACTGCAATTCCTTACCACTAAACCATGAGAGCTCCTTAAAGGTAGTAAATCTTATTTTGGGTTTAGGAAAAATTGATAGTCTGCTGTCGATAGCCCTGTTCCTGTTCTCAGATACCACTGTCTATGTCTTTTAGACCCTCTTTGTTCTGGCAGTACCAATTTCCCTCTTCAGTTAGAAGAGCAGTAACTTTCTGTCTGGAATAGACTGTGACAAGCTCCATTCCTTCCTGACATAAAGCAGGAAAGGAGTTTTCTGCAGAGGAAACTAAGGACATCACCAAAGCTTAGAGATGACTGAATTGACTGAGTAAAACAGAAGAGAAGTCCACCCCAAGATTGGCCTGGCTTCTGGGTCATCTCGTTAAAATCTTCAACTTCACCTAGGTCTCAAATAAGAAAAAAAAGAGTATTTAGGAGTTGGCTCTGTGTCACCTGGGGAGTAGAGGTGGTCTTAGAAGGGACTGAGCCAATATCAGCGTCTAAGCAGTTCTGAGGGTATAGACTGAGAAGTTGCAGAAGGAATCAGGACCAGGTGAAGAGACCTGTCATTTGCCACAGTTATTTCTCCCCAAACTCAAATCTGACAGTTTCCACTCCTCTGAGCACACCAGGTGATCCTGGCTCTTCAGCTGAGACCTAGAAATCTCTGCACCAAAAGCAAACCCAGAGCTCTGGTGGCTTAGGAGTAAAGAGTCGTGCTGCCAACCCAAAGGCCAGCGATTCGAATCCACCATCTGCTCCATGAGAGGAAGATTGACAATCTTGCATGAGGTTTACAGCCTCAGAATCCACCAGGTCAGCTATGAGTTTGTTCCGACTCGACAGTACGTCGTAAGAACAACAAAGGGGACGTTCCACTCCATGGAGTCTACTCAGCTGATGATCACGTCCCCCGACCCCTCAACCCACTCTTCCTCTTCACCCACCCTGAACTGAGTCTCCCCCTAACTCTGATCCAGGCCTCCCTATAACTCACTGAGCCCAGGCCTTGGTCATGCCTCACCTGGCAGTTTCGGGTGCAAGGTAACCCCCAGAAACATCCAGATCTCTTATAGTAAGCCCCAACCCTCCACCTGCTTTTTATCGTGTGAACCTCACCTCCTGAGCAAACATGATAAATCTCTTAGGATCAGGTGTCAGGTAGGGAGGGTGTGGGACGCCTTCTCCCAGTCCTCCTCCAGAGGACATGGCAGGGTGGGGTCCGCTCTGGGCCGGGCCCTAGAAATCAGAAGGGGTAGAATCAGAATCCCAGAGGACTCAGTACCCCAAAGGTCTGTTAATTGTTGTTCTGTGCTGTCAAGTCAGAGCTGACCCATGTGGCTAATGACCTCCCTGCCATCTGAGGGCTTCTTGCAAAGCAGGTGTTCTCACTGGAGGTCTCCATCTTTCAGGATAAACAGTCCCCTCTCAAGCATTTGAAATGTAGATTATCATAACATTTCCAGAGGCATGTTGTTTAGGAAGTGGACGCCACTGTTTCAAACATCTAGAAAAGTTGCAAGTATTGAATAGTGAACACTCCCACCCGTATGTCCTTTGTTTGGAGTCAGCCATGATTTGACCTTTTGCTGTACTTTTTTTTTGCCACCCATACCCTCACTCAACCCATTCACCTATCCACCCTCAGTCTGACAAACCCTTCTCAAACCTTCCCTGTTGGAGACAGGTGACTTGGGGCTACAGGTGAACACTGATTCCTGAGAACCACTCAACTCACTGCCGTCAGGGTGGAACCGACTCACAGCTGACCCTCCAGCAGGGTTTCAGAAGCTGTAAATTGCACAGGAGGAGAGTGTCCCTCTTTCTTCCTCAGAGCAGCTGATGGATTCCAACCTCCCACCTTTGGTTTCACAGCTCAACTCCCTACCCACTGGGCTACCAGGACATACTCTTCCTGAGACTAGACAGAATAAATGAGCGGATGAGAGGGAGCTCTGGTGTCTAGTTCCAAGACGCTGCACTGCAATCCCAGAGGTACACGGTTCAAATCCACCAGATGCTCTGCTGGAGAAGGAGGGGGCAATCTCCTCCTGTACCAGTCAGATCTGATTTGATGGTACATGTAAAAATAACACAATAAAAATAAAAAATGAGTGGATGGGCTGGTGAGCGGTTAGTGTAGACCCTTCTCTTCCAGGACAGATTCATCTAAAGTGCCCAAGACAGACCCACGAGCCCTGTTGTCTGACACCCAGGGCTGTTTCTCTTCTCAGTCCCCAGCTCCTTCCAAGTCAAGGGAAGGATGGAGCCCAGGACAAGGCCATGCCAGCATGATTAATCTCAGTAATAAATGGTAGCTGACATTTAGAGTACCCCACCTCTTTACAGGCTCACCATCTGTGGTCAAGGACCCATCCTAGATAACACAGGGCATTGAGGAGCCAGAAACTGGGTGGGGCTCCTGGGTGGTGGCATTCTGGGAGTGAAGCAGGACAATAACAAAGGCTGCCACTGTGTCCCCTCCCCTCCTGCCCCATCCTGCGTCCCCTTACTTCTCCTCAGGTCCCGGTGACATTCATTTACCTCATCCCAGACATTTTGTTTTGTATGTCTTGGGTTTCTCTCTACCTCTTTTCCCCCTGAATCTTTTCCTGAAGTTTTGTCTCTGTATTCCTTCCCCATCCCCATTCCTTTTCTCTTCAGCCTGCCTCTCCTTTGCCTCTACATGTCTCCCAAGTGCTTTCTGATTCACACTAGAGTGTGAATGGTTTTCTGTCTGTCCTATTTCTCACAGGCAAATATAAGAGCCCCTGATGGCAAAGTAGTTAAAGTGCTTGTTTGTTAAACAAAGACGAATGGTTTGAACCCATGAGTTATTCTGAGGGAGAAAGACACAGCAGTCTGCTTCTGAAAGAGTTGTTGTTGTTGATAGGTGCTGTTGAGCCAAGTGTGGCTCGTAGCGACCCTATGAACAGCTGACCTGAACCCTGTCCTCTCCTGTACCATCCTCATCATCTCTGACACACTGGAGACCATTGCTGAAGTCACCATGTCAATCCATCATGTTGAGGGTCTTACGCTCCTTTACTGACCGACCCTCCAACTTACCAAGCACGATGTCCCTTTTCAAGGAATAGCCTCACCTAGCTACGTGTCCAAAACACGAAAGACGAAGTTTCACCATCTTTCCTTCAAGGAGCACTCTTTTTTCCTTTTTCCTTGTGTTTTGGTGTCCCATTGAGTTGGATCCAATTGGCGCAGGAGGAGGTTGCCCCTCCTTTTCCAGTGGAGCATCTGGTGGATTTGAACCATGTGCCTTTGGGATTGCAGCACAGCTTCTTACCATGAAGGAACACTCTTGTACTTTTCTCTAAGACAGACATAACTGTACGCGTGTTGGGGAGTCCATACTCCTGTTTAGCACTACAACTCAAAGGCATCCATTCTTCTTCTATCATCCTTATTCATTGTCCAGCTCTCTGATGCATAGCCGGTGACTGAGGAGACCATGGCCTGGATCAGGCACACTTTAGTCTTCAAGCTGACTTCATTGTTCTTGAGCAATTTGGAGAGGTCCCTGACAGTGGATTTGCCCAATCCAATATGCGTCCTGATTTCCTGACTGCTGGTACCAAGGTGTTGATTGTTGATCCAAGCAAGAGGAACTCACTGGCTGCTTCAGTCTTTCCTCCATAGACCATAATGTTAACTATTGATCCTGTGGTGAAGACCTTTGTTTTCTTGATGTTGAGATGTACAGCCCCAAAAATGCTTTGAGGCAGTTTCACTCTGTCCCAGGGGAGCATCTCTATAAATTGGATTGGACTCAGTGGCAGCATGTTGCTTTATTTTGTATTATAGAAATACGTCATATGTCATGAAGTCTGTGCCCAAGCACAGAGTGTCAAAGAGAGGTGTGGGAGCGACACTTTGGGAAAATGGCTTCATATTTCCAGACATGGTACAGCTAGAGCCCTCAGGGTGGAGGGTCCCCACATTTACCACAGGCTCATCCCTCTTACCCACCCCAGGGGAAGACCCAGAGCCCCCTCCATTGCCTGGGACTGGTTCCTGGGGTCCCCACAGCAAAGCCTCAGCCTCCTCTTGGAGTACAGGAAATGTGTTTCTTCAGGTGGGTCGGCAAAGTCTTAGGCAGTTCTCTCTGTTTGTCCCAGGCATGAGGAGGGAGCTCTGGTGATAAGGAGCTACATTGGTAACCCAAAGGTACATGGATCAAGTCCACCAATGGTTCTGTGGGAGAAAGATGGGCAAACTACTCCTGTGTGATTTACTTCTCAGGAAATCCACTGGAGGGCCAAGCTCTGAGATGGTTCTGATTCAAGGGTACCTAACAGCAATGTTCTCTAGTCCATCGAGCCTGGGATCAGGGAGACACAGAGAAGTAGACAACAAATACAGCCAACAGCAGACATGCAGGTTGACAAGACAAACAGATAGGGACATTTGACAAGGACTACACCTATGACAACATATAGGCTGGGCAGATTATATTTTTACATTCTTATTAGTGTATGCTGTGAACACATCCATATAGAGAGTCAACAGGGGCAATGCTATGTAAATTCCTTAATCATAACCAAACACCCTGATGGAATGAGTTACTGGTTCAGGGGCCTTGAGTCTTAGGGGACATCAGAGTCAACAAGCATAACATGGTTCACAAAGACAGTGTTCTACAGTAGTGATGGGGGTCTTAAAAGCTTGCAAGCAGCCATTGAAGATGCATATTGGTTTCTCTCTGCCCAAAACAAAGAAGATAAAAG